AAGAAATGTTTAATAATTATCTGGACATTATAAAATTTTGCATGTGAAATTTCAAAATTTTCTGATGCATAAAAGTATTTTTAATCTTAAAATGAAAATTACTTTGCATGATAGATAGGCAAGATGTGAAAAGAAAAAAAGGCTTGAGATAAACATTGATTTACAAACCTTAATAAAAAAAATTTATAATTTGCATATAAAAGCATTGTAATATTTACTGATAAACTGCCAAATGTTGTTAACATTCGCATACTAATTTAAAAGTTACAGCATGAAAACTATAACAAGCACAAAATGGTTACGAGTTCTGTCCCAGGGACCAAGCCCAGATTGAAAGAGTTAATAACAATATCGAGTGACATACAGCAATAATTCATTATTATGGCACGCTATTTATTTACTGTGTTAGGTTATGAGAGTACATCTCATGTGATTTTAAATTTACATAATCTTTTGTGACATTGATAATATCTGTACGTCACCACTAGGATAGCTGGTGTCAGTTTCATAATACATATATATTTACTCAGAATAAACATGATCAGCTAGATGTATGTAACTAAAAATTCATAGATAAACTAATTGGTAGAAGAAATAATAAATAAACAATAAACAAAACCATAACACAAAAAAGAATGCTATCTCATAGAGTTGTTTTTGATTCTTGTACCTCAAGAAGATATTCTGCCATGCTAACAAAACTATGTGGAGTGGTTAAAGTCACCATTAGTTGATGTGCACAAGTTTGTGGGTCAGACTTGTGGCTAGGAAAATCTGCCATTTTACTTTAAAAGCTATCCATAAGGTATCGGATGATAGCTTGTCAATTAACGCACCTAGGGTGGTCACTGATTGTTGGATCACTGACTGAGAGGAATTGGTGATATTTGCTTTCGAAGCTATCAAGTGATATTCACCATACATGTTGTTATTTCTGCTTGATTACCACACAGTTAGGATGGTTTGTTGATTGCAAGATTAATTGAATAGAAAGGGATTTGTGATCCTTACTTCCTGAGTTATCAAGGTGGGTTTCACTATAAAAGTTACTTATAGGATGATGAATGATAGCTACTCAATTAACTGCTGAGAATAGCTGGTGCCAGTAGATGTGAATAATAGTGCATCAACAGTTTGCACAACTTAAGATGATAGCAAAGAGCTCAAACATAGTTGAAAGGGCTTTGCAACTTTTGCTTTCTGAGCTATTGAGTGATTTATCTGAGGCAAATATATATCAGCAGGAGAATCACTTACCTAATCAAGCTGAATTGTGAGAGCTGTACAGAGAGCACCACATGATCTTCACTAGAATTTTTGCAGCACACAAGAATGGCATATAACTTCTCCACATTGAAATGAGGAAGTTGTGTTTCATCAGAGTGTATATTGGTATATACTGTAGTAACAGCATGAATATTAATCCTAACTTACGATAATTTTAACTGAAAAATCTTAGTTTATCTTGATTTTTTTTTTACTAATTACTTTGTTACACCTGAAACAAATATGTGAGTTTGATGGCTCATAAGTGACAAAACTTTACTAAATAGCTACCCAACAGTAACTTTGGAAAGTAACCCAAGAAGATTACAAAGTAACTTGAGTGAGAGGTGGAGGAAACATATTGACAGTTATCAGTGTATGTGATGTGTAATGAAAGTATATGTATATGGCAATGTATGTGTGTAAATAAATACATGTGTGGTCCCACTCATGTTTAGGAACATTACATGAAGTTATGCCTGGGTATTATGTAACATGAATGGATCAATTACACAAGGGACATAAATATTAAGCAACGTATGAGTGGAAACAAAGGATTTGATCTGGTGTTGAGACTGTGATATGAGGTTAATTGTAATTATTGGCCTGTAAGGTATTATTTGAAGATACAGTTTACAGTGTTATTTTCATTAATACTTACAAGAGAATGTTTCAATTTTGACTTGAAATATAGCAGGTAATGAATTTTCATGGAAGGATAAAAGAGGTAATGAATTTTTCATGGAGGGGTAAGAGTATCAGAAAGACTCGTACTATGTTTGAGAGAAAATACAGTTTTACCTGAGTGGTGTATGATAATTGATTGGATCAAATCAAAATGTTTATGAATATGTGAAATTCTTAGTAATGTATAAAATTCACAAACAGTTGCTTAAATGCCATAAATAAATTTGGAGTACCAGTGTTTGATTTGATTATTATAGAATATTTTCAGTCATGCACATTGAAATATCTAGTAATATTTTCTTAATATTGTTTCATTGCAAGGTGTAGTATAAGTAATTATACTAGGTAGAAGTGGAAAGTAACATTTATGTGGGGAAACTTTGTAATTCTTCCTATAGCTAGTATTGAATTAACTTGAAGATGGTCCCTAAGTAAAGACCATGAAAGCATTAATGAATTCCAGTGTTAAAAAGTAAAAGTTGGTGTTGCCTAACCCGAGTCAGCTTGTGTGTAGGGTCCAGGTTTATGGTCTTGATTTCATTCTTTTCTTAATGGAACTGGGCACTGTTTATATAAAAACCAGATAGTAGTGGAAGGAATGGATCTATTTTGAGGGGTAAGCATTGACTGTTGTCATGGGAATGGAAATAGAGGGCCTCACAGCTCAAAAAGGTATTGATCAAGTGGAGACCCAGTGAGGACTGTGGACTGAGATATTCATGTATGCTAGGAATACAAGTTCTGTGGGTGATTAGAACATAAGCATATGTGAACTCAATAGAGATGTCACTTGACCAAGGTAATCTATTGATTACTCTGCCTCTAAAGGTAGTTTTGAAAGGAGAGTTATGGTTGTAAACAGGCAGTTATGACCTTTTTTGATCCACACATCTAGATGGCTTGTTGACCAATTGGAATTCATTGATCTTCAGTGTGGATGTTTCCTATGTAATATCAAATTCTTAATCTGTCTGGCAACCTTATTCTACAACTAACCATAGTGTTTCATTCTCTTGTGTGCTGAAGCCTCCAAGTTTCTGTAGTTGCCATGAAAAACTATATCCCGACCAATGAGTGGGGTATGACAAGATTCCAGCAACTATGAGGTCAACTGTTGATCACAAGAAGCAAATGAAAAGGGATATCCAATATGCAATTCTCTTGAATATTGCCGATAGCCCCTTATGATCCTGTGGAACATCAAGCCAATAATGTAAGCTGAGCCTTCAGCATCTCAAGTACAAACAAAGGTGATTCCTCTGAAGCAGATTTTGTCCACATTGCAAACTGCAGTCATTTCTAGCTGAATCAGTACATGTGTTGTAATTTTTTTTTATGTATCATTTTTTACTTGCTAGTCATCTTGTAAAAGCAACAAGTAGAGAAGATAATTCACCCTTCCTCATCAGATGACTTGAAATATTGTGAGAACGAGTGAGGCTATTTAAAAGACGTGACTTTTTTATTGATAACATAATGTTTATCATTAAACTTTGAAAATTAAATCAATTAATCAATATAATAATTTACCTATGAGCATGGATTAGTGTTGTACAATACTTGATTATTTAAAATTATGATTAAATCAATTACATGCATGAAAATAATCAACTAGTTATTCCAGTTATAACTGTTTTTGATCATTCCAACTATCCAAGTAATTTAAATACTGCTATTATGTTTCCTGCTAAGTGCAAAGGAATTTTCTGTGTGCATTTGCATCATTGTTAAAGGGTCTGTTTTTCTATTTATGTATGGTTTCATTGTTAAAGGTGTTCATTTTTTTAGACATCACAGAATATTGCACATGCCATTAATTGCCTGGCTCTAGTTATAATTTTGTATACAGAAGTATTGTATATGAAAAATATTCTTCTTCACCATCAATGATTTCAAGTCACCTAAAATAAATTGTGTGTCTTATGAATTTTAATTATCTTTATCGAAGTGTTTATTCTTGGTTTTGTATTGTAGTTATGTATATTAATTATTGTTAAAAGATTTATTATCTTTGTTCATTTTTGTGTTTTGCAAAAGGTTTTGATAAAAAGTTGTATTTTAAGTTATGCCTGTGACCACTAGTATATATGTGTGCATTTTTTTAATTTTCTAAAGGGTTATTTCAATATATTTTAGTGTGATATTTAAGGTTTTCTATATTTTGTTTTTCATGCAAGTTATTCTTGATCTGATATAGTAGCTGTTTTGCCTGGAGTGGATATTGCTTCAATACTGCATGCTGTGCAAGGTTTTTAACAGCAGTGTCCTTCAGTAGTTGCTCATGTGATATCTAGAGGTTACAGCCTCACCTATGTTGTTATGAGAATGATAGTCACATGGGTAACCCTAGTCACTCTGAGTAAATGGAACATTTCTTGTGAACTAAGGAACATTGTATTTATACAGTCTGGAACAGGATACTGAAGGAGAAGCAGCTAAGACAATCTAATAAATGAGTTTTGTGTAAGAAAAAAGGTACCTGATGTTGACAAAAACTTGTCGAAACATGTAATAAAATATTCTTTTTTACCCATTCGAGCCATTTCCAAACTTTAAAACAACCAGTCTGCTTCTGTAGTGGCCATTTGATTACCAACTCTGAGTTCTGCTAATAACAGAATTTTCTTACACTATATTCTTAAACTACAAAAACCTTTAATTAATATGCATATGTGTTTCATGAATTTATAAAATAAAAGTTTTTCTTGGGTTTGAAGAACCAGTAGCTGTTTTTTTCTTGATGTTAAAAATGAATTAATTTTTTTTGTGAAATGGAGGAGAATTTAATTTTTTTTTTATAGCATAAGCAACTTTCTGAAGTAAGTATTTTATTGATATTAATTTTTTCAGAGGATAAGGAGTGAGTTATGCTGAAATTGTTTTCGATGAGAAAAGAATAATCATGTTTTTTTATGTTTTAGGTTAAATTATATTTATAATCTATATTTGAAAATAAATGTATAGATTTATTTTTAGGTAAGGTAAAAAAAAAGAATTTAATAAAGATTTTTATTTTTTTGGGGTAAAAAAATTTTACCCTTATACAGATATTTTAAACAAGGGCAGGCATTTGGCCTTGCTTGTTTTGAAAATATGAAAGTGGACTGTGAAACTGAAAGAGGTGCACGAATGAAGTCTGTTGGAATCTTGAGTCCAAACTATGCAGTTCTTCACAAACATAAGGAATTTCTACAGGAACAAGTAAGGTGAGTTTATTTAGTTATTAAAACAATTTTTTACATTCTGTATTGACAGGCTGTAATAACTTGGTACCAGTAGTAATAACTTGTATTAAGTAGGTTCTCAGCAGTATAGTTGAAACTTGGCAGTTATTGTTGGTATATGTAGTAAGTGTTTTACTTCATGAAGTAATCTACTAAATGAGTTCTTCTAAGAGTCAAAGCAAATTTTTTTCCCCAAGTTATGCAACATTAGGTTTAACAAATGAAAGATAAAATAGGTGTAGTTCAAAGTATGCTAAAGTACTGTTAGTTTAACAACAGAAGAGTTCAATAAAGGTGGAATAAACAAGAACAAACAAACACGTGAAGGTTAACATACAGGTAAATGGAAAAGTACAAAATTACATGCACACTCATGTGGAGCTGGAAAATTACATCGGTTAGTGTCACGTAGCATGACTAATCGCAATTAGTGTTTTTGATTCTTACTGTTTTTGTTAATCCAAATATCCAAGTAAATGAAGTATTACCGGTGTGATTTCTCATTATTATTTTAGATTAATCAATTATTTTACCTGTCACAAACTGATGTAATCGATGCTTATATGTTAATTTCCCAACCCTGTTGTTTGCTAATCAATCTTACATGGCTGGTGGGCATGTTTATTACCAACAGAAAGAGCATATTTTCCTCTACATAAATATAACATTCAATTTTGCCACCATAAACAATTGGTGAGGATAATTGCTTGGCTTGTGTTGATCAGATTTGGTGTTTTAAACAGTGAAATCATTTTTTAAATCTTTTTATAGGTACTTAGAAAACTGGATTAATTGTAGTAGTTTTGAGACATTCTATTTTAGTGACTGATGTGTATTTTTTGTGTTCTAAAATGCATATATGTGAGTGCATAACTTTTTTTTACTCACAAATTTTTGAGACTCAACAAGATTTAGGGAAGAACATCAAAGATTTTACTCATTTAATGTTATATAATTTTTATCAATATGATATTTATTTAGGAGGTGGTAAAGATTCTAGCAAATGACAGAAAAAAAAGAAGAAACCACCATATTGTTTCATGGGTTATCATTCTTTCTGGAATATTCTAACCAATCCTTATACTGTAATGAGGGTGTGACCACCACTATTCTCACATGCTATTATAAAGTTTGAAATGACAAACCAGTTCTGTTTGAAGTGGTTCCTATTTTGAGGAAGATAAGGAGCACTGTAGAGACACTGCAGAAATCAGCCTTTTCAACAGCCAAAGAACTGTGCTCAGTGATGAACTTGATCATGAAGGTAGTTGAGCATTTTCCGAACACTGATACAGAAGTGGGCACAAATTGTGAATCAGAGAAATCTTTAGAAGTCAACTAACATGACTTCATGATTTCAGATAGATACTTATTTTTCTACAGAACCATCCACTTTTTTCTCAACTTTTAGTGTGTCTCTTTTGCTTCATCAACAAAGTTTTTGGAATACAAAAAGTGCTCAAGGAGAGTAATGTGCATGGAGGTTTTCACCCTCCTATTGGTTGGGGACTATAGTGTAATGCTGTTTTCATCATAGACTGACACAGTACTGTTAAGTTTAGAGATAGGAGATTTTTCAAAGGCTTAGTGCATGTACAAAACCTATTTGGCAGTGTCATGGGGTATTAAGTATCTGTTCAGTGGAAAGGTGAGTATCTCTCAGATAAGGGAAATGTAAATTTTATACTGTTTCATAACAAAGACATATAGATCATATATGTTGTAGAAGGAGCATCAATGAACATGATGATAATTTTTGTAGTAGCTTTTAGTATCATGACTGTACGTTGACTGTCATTAAATCTTGCTAGCTTTTGTAAGTGTTCAAAATGGAATAAAGGAGGCCCAACAAATATTAACAAAAAAATCTGAAAAACAGCACAAACAGTGATTTTTATTAGTCAAGATCAGTATCTTATGGGATTTCCTAACCTCATTATTCTTCTAATAGATATTCAACTTTTTCATACGGTTCATCGTAGCCTCTTTGTCCAACACTCTCAAGACTTTTCTTCATTCTTATAAAACACTGCTGATTTTATGTTACATTCAAAGGGTAGTGTCAATTTGTTTGAGTTATATTTTCTTGCAGTGATTATTTTAACTTAATCTGATTAACTGCATTTGGTGTTATTTTTCCTTTCATCTTACTTATGTATGTCTATATGCACTTATATTTTTATTAATGAATTATACTTGACTATTGTTATATAATCTTCTACTCCTTGATATTTTTGTTTTTGATGAGCTCATTGTTGTGATTTTTTTATTCAAAAAAATATTGTTTCCCAGACTAACATTTCCTTCTCCAGAATTTGTTGCTTTCTTTCAAAAAATCCTTTGTCAATGGAGTCAGTTATTCTATCAGATGACAAGCACATGAAAGTTTGTCTGAAAGCTTGTGGATCACATAAACCTCAATGCATATGCATATTTATAAGTCTGAAAATTTCTTGTTTTTTTTTATTATTGTATTTACTTGCTTTAGAAATGATTTTATGATTACATTTAATTCTGTTTCTTCCTAAACCTCGGGACTGTAATTTCAGTACTACTTAAGGTTTTCACATTGAATATAATCTTTCCATACATGGAAGCATAGCTTTTCATAAGGAGTAGCTGTATGTAAGTTAATGACTTTTGTAATTAAAGGTGTGAATTTATTGTACTTTAGATTCTTGTTGAATACCCCTGGATGCTACAACAAACTTAAAATGTTCTACAAAGCCAACAAGGAAAATTTCTGTTCTGGTATATATCAGCATTGTGGAACTAGCCAAAATAAAGAGAGTTTTGTGTGGTCATACAACAATTTGCATCAGTACGTACTTAATACAAAGGTAGGTCTGATATGACTTCAACAGGTACATGTAAAAAAATTGGTTTCTTACAAAAAGATGCATGTGTTGATGAAAATAGATTTAATTTCTTTCTTATTAATTCAACAACTGTGCTATTGAAACTACTAGTCTATGTTGTAATATGTAGCTGTAATAAAACTTTACCTTCTTTAACCCTTCAAGACAGGTTATGGATGAAAGGCCATGTCATCTCATTTGTTGACTCACATTAAAAATTTTATTGAACTATTATTTCATGAATTTATGTCAATAAGTTTGGTATCAAAGTGTAGATTATAATTCAAATTTCAGTACTATAAATTACTAATTATCTTAATTTAAAAGTAAATATTAAGAAAACACAGATAAACATTCATTTTTGTGTGTCACGTGGTACGTTGAATGCAGCACTGGTTGAAATTAGATGTTTATGAAGTCAAAGTACTAAGTCTACAGTTTCGTACAAATTAGAAACTCTAATTACCGATATTGACAAGCTAGAATATAAAATAAGAATGTCTCATCTTTTCTGTTTGCTAAGATATTGCTCATGTAATAAATCAAACACAGTGGCACCCTGCCCACCTCTTTCCAATTTTGGAAACACTCCTTTATATATGACAATTGAGTACAAGGGTCGTAACTAGAAGAGAATTGTTTGATTTACTTCTTTATTTACTGTTCAATGTTTTAGAAAAAATAACTTCAAGAACTTATTTCAAAATAGCAATAATCTGTATACATATATAATGTATAATAATTGAAATGGTCAGTTTTATATTGTCAGATACCGTAACATGAGAGCACTTGTGCTGCGTCATTGTACCTTCTGTATTATTAGAAAGAAACAACTGGAAGGTCAATATAATAGAAATAATAAATATATATAAATGCATAATGTTATGAGATTTAAGTATTTAGTCTAAACATTTATGTTTTTGTGTTATAATTTGTGTTCATTCTAGAATGAAAGATGCATAAT